AACTTCCTCTCTTACCTCATGAAGAAATAAGTCAGTCTACTTTTTATGAAAGACAAATAAACTCCCTACAAGAACAATTGAATGAGACTGAAGAAGCATTGGAAATCAAAAAAGAGGAAGTAACCAAATTTCAAGAAAAGTCTGAAGAATGAGGTAAGGGGCAAAAGCAAGAGTTCAATTAACCCAATTGCAACAACAGAATGGTCAAATTGCTCAAATTGAAGTTAAAGATGATCTTGATTGAAAACAAAAAAGTAATTGAGGAAATTTCCTTCTGTATAAATTGAAATTATCAAAGAAAATGGTAGTTATTTTCCTTTTAAGGATTTTTGCTTTTTATTAGGTAATTAGCTTCATATTAACTGTTTTTGTTTAGACAAATATCATGATCACACTATATTGGTAACACGATTGTGATTTTAAACAAACACTATTGATCCCTGAAATTCTTGGTAGTAATACCAATGTTCATTTTGTCTGGTTTTGTTGCAGTATGCCCCATATAATAATATAACAATTTCTATTTAAAAAAAAAAAAAAAACTAAATGATTTAATATAATATAATATAATATAATATAATATATATAATTCATTTTTCAATTACTTGAAAAACTTCAATTGTACCAATATTAAAAGATTTTGGTATATGAATATTATTGTAACTATATGAACTACTGCCCGAAGAACTATTTTCACTCAAAAAGATATCATGTCCTGCACCAAAGGTAGGCAAATAAAGAGTATCACAATAAACAGCAAATGAACTATCTTTAACATAACTGAATTTTGCAGTATTAAGATCATTTTTATTGCTTAGATTAAAGATAAAACTACTAAATGTTGATTTGTATCCATAACCACTCCAATCAAGTGGATTATACCCTCCAATTATTTGATCTGAATTTTGTATTCCTACTACTGTCAGAGTTTTACTTGCTGTGTCACACCTTTGATGATACCTTGAAACCTCAAGTCCTTCTTTATTACTATGATATAAAAGCATAAATTTGTATTTGACTTGTTCAACAGAGTCATACAATCTGCCTGCTTTGTCAATCCAACTTGAAAAAAGTAAAACATGTTTATGATCAATTAACACTGAATTAATAACTGGATGTCTAAATGGTAAATTTAAAAGAGATTTGTCATCATGTACTATGTAATAACGTAAAATACTGTTTCTAAAATCTTTTTCAATGATTTTCTTGTAAGGTTTAACCTTATCAAAAAAATCTTCACCAGATATTTCATGGAAACTGATTAATGGCATGATGTTTTTTAAAGTATTCCTCATATCAACAAAATCTTGTTGAGTCCATTTTTTCACATCATTGTCAATATCAGGGAATCTTGCTAGAGCCCATTTAAGTACACTCTCCCAAATCTCTATCTCTTTAATATTTAAAGCTTCACATTTGAGAATCATTAATAAAATGGGTTCTTCTATTTTTAAAAATGCATCTAAATTAAAAAATTCTTTTGCATTAGAGCATATCTTCTTCAAACATAATTTTTTTAAACTTGTAAATGAGATATGACTGTAAACTAATTGAAGTATTTCAATTGGATTTTCTTCTAAATACTTTAAATGATTTTTTATCAGATAATTCTCCACATGTTCTTTAAGTAATTGTAGATCAAATTCATCTGTTATAATCAATAATTGAAGAATATCATTCTCTGTATAATTAGTCCAATCAACATCTCCACTATACCAATGTCTAATTAAAATAAAAACATAATAGAAATTTTTGATGAATTAATCTTGTGATACTCAAATTTTAACTCCTAAAGCAGAATATAAACATATGACATATGTATTTATATATTCTAATAAAAATTTTAATTCACTTACTTTAAAATAATTCTAAAAACTGAAGCTGTAACATTTGGTTTATAAAAAATATAATATTCACCTTCTTTTTTTGCCCGATTTGAAGAAAAGGCAGCCTTAAAGTAGGGACAACGAGCTCTTAAAACAAATGAATGAGCATGAATTTCCTCCATGTTTGGTTCTTCATCAACATAAATTTTTACATCATAACCTTCTTCATCCTCAAGCATTCCAGCAAAATCTTTACAGACTTCACTAGCGAAATCATTCATTTTAATTATTAATTAACAAATTTATATGTGTCTGTGTGTATATATATATATATTATATTATTATTTTATTTTTAATTGCGAAATCGAGAAATTGTATTACTATGAAATGGTGATACAATAAAATTTAAAATCTGTTATAGCACGAATTTAATCGTAACCCACTAATACTAATATTTTGTCTGGGTGTAAAAACATCAAATCGCGTCGTGCTTGAGCGTGATTATAAGGCTTCTTTGATTTGTATTTTGTCCTTTTAATTTTGAATCATATAGCGACAAGCTTTTACTTTGTATTATTAATACTTGGGATTTTTTATTTGTTGTTTTTTTACAAAGCATTAAAAATGATAAAATCACGCTGTGTTCAAGCTGTACTGGTTACTCAAGCTTTAAACTCATAATGGTGAGTCAATTTTGGTATGGGAAACAGGTTTTAAATAATTTTTATCAAAATTCGGTTCAGTTTGGTTTGCCTCTAAACCGCGTCGACGGAGCTTTATTTGGAAGGTATGTTGGTTGCAGGCATGATAATGAAAATGGTATAGAAATAATGTTGTCATCATCAAAAGAATTGGTTGGTGTAAGGGTTAAAGATGATGTTATTAAAAAAAGTCGAGAAAGACGTATAAAGGTAATAATTATCTTTGCAAAGTAGTCATGCATTTTTACTTTGATATCAGATTATATATAATTAGGCAAAGGAGCCAAATGTGATAAATTTTCATGGTTAAGAGGAAGTAAATCTGTCCACTTTATTTGATTGATACGAGTTAACCCTGATTTAACAGTTTCAAAAGCTCATAATGTTGAAAGAAGTTTAATACATTTGTTGGATGCTGGATATCAACCACCTCATTCTTAATGAAAATCATTTATTAGTTAATTCTATTTGGTAAGTTATATTGTATAGTAATAGAAAAATCAATTAAATTATTAAATAATAGAAAGAGTGATGTAATTATTAATTAGTAATGAATGAGTAAATAAATAACTAATAGATTTATAAGAATAATGTATATATTACACTTCAAATAAAATACAGTTAATTAATAAAATAAAAAATCAAATATATTTAAAAACTTCCCATTGCCTCTGTTATACCATTAAACCCAATCTGAGCACATTTGCGACCTGCTAACTCACATGCAAATCTTAAACATTCATCAATTGGCATTTTTCGAGACAACCCATATATAATTCCAGCATTAAAGGTATCACCAGCACCTACAGAATCAACAATATTAGCTATTCTATAAGCAGATTCAGAATAAAGTTTACATGTTGTATTATGATAACATGATGCTCCTAAACTTCCCCAAGTACAAAAAAGATATGCACTAATTATTTTTCAAAAAAAGATATTAATAATTTAACTAAATTTTTTTGGAGTTGATAGTCAATTTAAATACTCTTTCTTCAATGGTAATTGTTTAATACTAACGTTTTTTTACAAAAAGGTGACATTATTTGTAAGAAATCACTAGCACTAGTATAACCTTTGCCTTCAGCGAATACTTTTGAGAAGAATAAAACATCTGATTTACTCATCAAAATCTCCAAGCCTTTACGGTAAGGTTTCTCTAATTCGACACTAACAATTGCCCTTGACCTCCAATCCTTACTATCAATATAATCGATCATTTTTGATACTTCTTGTGCATTTCTTCCTTCAAAATGAATCCAATTAAAAGGTGCACCATCTTCATCTTCTACTCCATAATCATAATTTGACATGTTGATTATTGTTTCTTCAGCACAAATTAAATCGAATTTATTTTTAAATTCATCAAATGCTAATTCATCTATGCTATTTTACATTTTGGGAAAATAGAAAATTAATAAATGAATGAATGCTATTAATGAAGAAATTGAATTTTTGAATTTAATTCATGAATTATGAAAAAAAAATACCTATTATAATTTATGATTGTTCGTGAACTTGTATTGTCAGCATGCATTATATATGCTACTGGGGCATGAGTTGCATTAGATCTGAATATACATGCCGAAGTGTTTATATCATGAATCTTAAAATCCTGTATTAAAAATCTGTAAGTTAATTGTTAGAAAATTTCAACTTATTATTTTTTTTTTTTCATATTTTGTATTTTGTATTGTAAAAAAAAAAAAAATTTAACGTGTGTACAGAACTTACATTGAGGCTTCTTTTGAAGCCATGGAGGCCATAAAATGACATGTTGTTAAAGGGAGTTGTGATAAAACAGTTAAGGTGTTACCAGCATTTCCACCTCTTCTTCTTTCAACTCTTTGAGCTCTTTGTTTACCATCCTCAGGAGGAAACTTATCAACATACAATATAGTATCTTCGTATGCAGAACCAATAGCAAGCACTTTTAAGGGTATTGGTTCATTTTCAAGATGATTATTATTACTGCTGGTAACAATAGTAGTATCTATTCGTGACATTGATGATAATAATTAATAAAGAAAGAAAATAATTTAATTTTTTTTTAATTAAAAATTTCATGGTATTTATATTTTTTTTACCTGCAAAAAATTTAAATTGTGATCAATTTATATATACACGCTTTGGATACAGTGGAGGACAAATTTGGGTGGAAGAATATCACGTAAAGTGGTTCGACCAATAAATTTAAAGGGAAATCATGATCACCTCAACCGTTTTTGGAATATCAATAACAGTATACAGTATATAGCAAAATGTGTAGACGTTACACTGGTATCTGAAATAAAAAATTTTAAAGAAGAAACCAGATGGAAGCTATTTGTTTAAAGACATTTCATTTACTCTTTTTGACAAGGAGATAATAACTATTGCTGGACCAAGTGGTGTTGGGTCAATATATAAAAATGAATATTAAATAAATGGTCTTTTTTATTAACGTTGTTTTGTTTGAAGATTAGTTAGCAAGACAACATTGTTGAAATGTATTTCACAATTAATAGTATATGATGATAGTCATGTTTTCATTGATGACAAGTAATTCTAAATTTTTTTTAAAGAAAAATATTGATTGTTAGCATAATACCTTTTTTTTGTTTGAATTTATAAATTTATTTCTATTTTATTATATAGAACACCAGAAGATATTAGCATTCCTATTTGGAGAACTCGCGTTCTTTATGTTCCATAAAGACCTTGTTTGTAGTCAACAAATCTTTTCAATAATAAAGAAAAATATATATTATATTTTAATAAACATATACATGAATTAAATGTAGCAATAATTCCTGGCACTCCTTTGGACTTTCTTGAGAAGATAAGATCTTATAAAGCACAACAGAAAATCATGCATTTACATAGTGACCCTGTACGTTCTTATAAAAAATTAGGTGATATTAATTAACAATCAATTAGATTGAAATATCTTCATTATTTCTTGGATAATTTATATCTATTGCAATATTCCAAATTTCAACCAAATTGATTACATTCTGGAATCGAGTCCAAACTGCTGCTGATGCTGGACTGTATTCAGTTGTTTGTTTTGGTTTGCATAATTCTTCAACTATTTTTTTGCTAAGTCGCTCTAAAAAGTCTATCAAATTATGAAGCAAAAAAAGTCAGTACAGGCAAAAGAATAAAATATGTAAATGATAAAATTTCCAATGATACACATTAATATATAAAATCATTTTTCTTCCAATAATGTTTACCTTCATTTAATATAACATAATCTTGAGTGTAAGATATGTGTAAAAAAAGATAATAAAATACCAGATGTTACATCTCAAATATAAATATTCTAGCTATTATGGTTTCTCAAACAGTTTACCATATTTACTTTTTACCTTGTAAAAGCGTTTTAAGAGCAGCAGTCACCTCCTTATCTCCACCCTCAAAATATTCTAACCGTTCTTCTAGTGGTTTATTCAAAAGAAGACCTTTGATTTTTCCGCGTTCATCTTCATTAGTGAAAAGAGTAGTCAATTTTTCTTTTGCTTGCTTCCATGACATTAATTCTATGCTATTATGTTGTGTATTAGTAGTAGTACGAAGTTTTTTAAGTGTTGGAGTATCAGCAAATGTAGCCTTGTCATTGCTTGTTGATTTTAATGGTCTTTTATGAGAATTTTTTTGAAGGCCCACGTTCACTAGTAAAATTATTGTCAAAGCAATGATCTGTCTGTACTTTTCTTTTTCTTGTAACAGAACAAATCTAAAAAGTGAATACAAAAGTTGATTTAGCCACGTCAAATATATTAATTAACTAGAATGACAAGTAGTGAACAATTTAACTAGGGTAATGACAAGTGGCGATAGCCACCACCATTCTTATGATAAAAACTTACCCGGCAGTTTCCTGCCAACTATTTTCTTGATTTTTCCTCTTCTCTTTATTTTTGGTTTTTTTAATTTTTTAAAAAAAAAACAAACACGTAAAACGAAATATTATATATTATTATTGGCACAATGATTTTTTTTTGTTGACGTGATTGATTTTTTTTTTGAAAAAACAATTGACAGACAAAACGCGGTTCTCCTAAAAAAGACGTGTTAATAACTAACCAGAGGTACTTTTTTTATTTGTATTGTCTTTTTTGGTTATTATAAATATTTTAATTGGAATCAAAACGTGGGCAGATTTCGCTGGGTATTTATAAGATCCTTATCAAGATGGTGAACGAACGAACTATTGGCATTTTGCTTTGCGTAATCGTTATTAATATTATTATTATAAGTATATAATTACATGACAAGGCAGCACAGCGCTGAAAAAGAAACATTTCCGCATTTTGAATTTAAAAGCTTAGATAAAAAAAGAAAAAGAACCTTCACAATTGATGGTTTTCCAATTGACAATGAAAATATTAGATATATAATTATAGTAGGTAACAATATGTATATATTATTGCCTACTTATGCCCATGTGGCCTAAATCGCCACTTTTGAATGTGGCTCATTCTGAATTTTTGGCCACATTCGAATGTGGTGGATTTCGCGTTTTTAGCCATGTTTCTTAACACATGTGAGTGACGGTGTTGCATTGAGGCAGAGTTATAGCCTGAATTCAGGCTCCGAGATGTAACTAACGTGATTACTGTGAACAAGTGTTCACGATCGACTATGGGAGCACTCCAGGGAAAGCAAACGAGATTACTCCTCGCATGTAGACCAAAAAAAAACGTACATTGATTTTGTTTTTACATTCCATTCGAATTCGAGGATGAGGCACATAGTGCCGAATTGTTATCCCACTTGGTGATACGTAAAGGCACAATTTTTTCTTTCTACCTTTGCATATCACAGAATGCACACTATGTTTTCGCACTCTAGAAAACTTTCTCGCATAGTTGGCACTTTCGGATACCATTTTTCATGTCAAAAAATTTTGATTTATACTTTGACGTATTACCTTTACATATCATTAGATCGAAAATTTGGATTACTTTTGCGTATATTAATATTAATATCGAAAATTTTAATCTCACACTCACTTTTGTAAAAAATCGGATCGAACTGAATATTATTCGGGTATCAAATATATCTTTATAATAAAATGAAAATCATCGTTTGAGATTTGCTGAAAAAAAAGAGAAGAAACATTTACTATAAAACTTTATTTTTACCTATTTATAAAAAATAAAGAGTAAGCAAAAAGATTAAGATAAGAGAAATGGAAGATATATGAATTTTATAAGAACTAATATCTAAAAATGACATTTAAATTTACAAATTAACAAATATAGCAGAAACAAGCAAATCCAATATTATGCCAATGGTTCCCGTGTCTTTCTGATCTACAAACTTTTCTACAGGGACCCTGATTAAATAGACCACAATTTCCAGAGAACGTTTGGCTTTGCCATTGAATACACCTTTTTTCTAGGTTTTCTGGAAGTGGATTTGCATCTACAAAGGTGATGATGACAAGGAGAAACATAAAAATCAGATTCCCTTCATTGTTGTTAATTGACGTTTGAGAATTATAAAATCAAATTTGGATAAGGCAAAAACTGTTTTGTCTTTATAGTATAAAAATCAAGACAAGTTACATTAATATCTTAATCAAATAAAGAGAAATAGCAAACACTTACATTTTTACTAAAAATTTGTTGATTAAAATTTGTTCAAAAGAAAGCCGAACCTAGAGAGTTTCATCAAATCGTCAAAAATGGCTATTGCTAAAAAAGTCATAATACGTACGAAAAAAATTTTTATTATTATTATGTAAACGAGCGTTTCCGTCAAGTTTTATTTTACTTTTTCTTATTCTTGATAAATGCACTAAATTGCCTATGTTTTATTTTTAGAGAATAATAACATGTTAAAGCTTTTTCTTCTTCAATGATGGAGATAATAATAATACATAAATAAAATTGGAAAATTAGTATTATAGATGATTCTTTGACAAAGTAACTACAATGGGTAAAAATTACATTTGTATGCTCTAATTGTTTTGATAAAACCTTTATTTTGACGCGTAACTCGAATGAACACTTGACTAAACTGAATAAACTATTCTAGTCATCAAGTTTAGTCAAGTTTAGTCAAGACAATTATTATGCTGATTTTGACATGAAATTGGGTAATGTACAAATTTCAACTTTTGGAATTAACCTTTAAATTTAGTTAAACAATATAATTTTAATGTTAATTTGGATTCGTTTAACAGCTTTGGCTTTCTTGAGTAGTTATATTTTTTGTTTCCCATACTATATTGCTTTAAATAGGATTTTAAATAAATAGCTGTGGATGATATTGTTTATAGAGAAAGGTAAGGACATTTGAGTTTATTTTTTCTTATAATAATTATATTTACTTATGTACATACATACTATAAGAAATTTAATCAAAACATTCAAACAGACACAATTCGTGAAAGACCTATTCATTTGCCACAACAGAAAGGATGCAAGGATTATTATTTTACAATTAATTAATTAATTAATTATATATATATTATTATGAAGATATTGAAAATTTCTTTTATGTTTTATTCTTGTGATGATGGATATAGATTATTATAATGATATCAGGAAAAAGTGTGAATATGTTAAATTTATACATATATATTAATATATTACGGTATATACTTTTTTTTAATTGAGGATAATTTTGGCAGGCATTGAATATTTTATACATAATGATTGTGTACGTGGATATTGGTTAATTAAAACAGATATGGTTCTTGTAGTGAAATAAAAATTTTTTTTCAAAAATATAAATAGAGTCGACAACCTTCCATTGCTATATTAAATTAAGATTAAACGTCATTTGCAATTCCTTAGGCTTGTCAACTTCTAACAATCGAATATCATTGTAAATAATATTAATATCCTTCTAAACCAATTGGATTATAATGATATTTATTTTTTTTTTGCGTATTAATAGATAATAGAATTTAGATTCATTAATTACTAACCTTTAGCATTATTTTTGAAATTTGGTTCACATAATTCTAAAATAATAACTATATAAATAATCATAAATCAGTTTCTTATAATAAAAGTCCAATGCAACTTTCCAAGTAGTTGTAAGTGATTTCGTAAGGAGTACTTTGGCACAACTGTTACTGTTGAGTTTGCTTTAGTCTACTTGCTAGTTGGAAGAAAATCTTAAAATAAATGTGAAAAGCAGAAACACTTTCGACCTGGTGTAGAATAGCCAATAATCAAACTAGACTTCTCTTTTAATAATCAATAGAAAGTTCTAACCTGGTTCTATAATTTTGTTATTTGTTAAATAAAAAATGATGAATTTTTTTGAAACGGATTACAAAGTTTTTTTGTGCATAATGGTTATAATGAATGACATTTGATCTAATTTCTTGATAAATTTTCTATAACCTTCTCCCTGAAGCATATTGAGAGGTGAAGAGTCCATTCAGTGGTGGCAAGATGCAAATATTCCATTTTTGTTGTGGATGTTCTTTAACTTTTCAAAAAATCTGCTAATTTGAGTTCTAAAAAAATTGAATTATAATAAATAAATGTACTGTATGTTTAGTAAACATATAAGGTTATGGAAAGTAACGTATTAGTCTGAATGACCAATAAATCATCCGATGGAGCGTAAGAGAATCATACCTTGTGATTATTTTTCAATTTAAAATAGTTGTGAAAGCAAGTGATTAGAGATTACCTTTGATCTTCTCATGAATAAATGTTAGTTGTTCCATCAATTAATTTTCCCACGACTTTCTTGTAAAATTATCTTCGCTTCATTTTTAAAAAGGATTACAGTGCTAAAATGATCAATATAATAAAAATATCTATCTACAATATATATATTATATACACTAGTTACAAAAAATTTTAAACTTGTGGTTAAATTATCGTCATAGTCATTTGATTTTATATTTAAACAAATACCGTAAAGTTTCGAAAGATAGCACCCCCTTTTTACAACTGTGTAACACATGATTTAAAGTAGGTGCTACCTTTCGAGATTTTATGGTGTCGTCATTTGATATCACAAACCAAAAATAACGACAAAATCTTTTTTTTTTTTATCTTTTTTAAAAAATCAATTTTCCAACCTACCTTTTTCTTTTTTCGATAAAAAACAAAAGCTCATATAAAAACTTTCAAAAAAAAAAAAAATTCATTATTTTAATAATGATAAAAGAAAAAAATCCTTTAATAAAAAAAATTTTTTATGCAATAGTGTAACACACAAAGTTTATTATTATGCAACATAATAATATAAAAAGAAAATAAAAAAGAAAATACAAAAGCAAACAAATACACAAAGGTTATTAATTATGCAATATAATATAATAAAGAAAATACACGAGAAAACAAACAAAGTGAAGTACGGAGGCCTGTTTGGATTCTGATTGAAACCATTTAACGGAGAAACAAAGAATTAAAGGAAGAAGAACACGTATTTTAAGGTAAAGCAAAATAACATTCAACTTATTTTTTTATGCAAATGTATGAATATAATAACAACAATAATTGGAAACCGTCAGTTAATTATTTAGGAACCGACTATTATTATTATCCTTACTTGCTGGAACATTTAACTAGATGTTTTCAATTATAATCCTGAATATGTCAAAGAAAAATCATTGTTGATGCTGAACGGAAAACAATACTTTTTTTAATTAATCAAAGTGTATTTTTTAAAGTTATTTTTTATGCAACAACGGTGTAACTTATAGTGATAAATATAACAAATAATAAAACAATCGATAGTCGAAT